TTAGAGCTTTCTATCATTTCTGAACTTTCAATTGTTCCTAGTCGTTCTTTAGCAACCATTTCTCTTTCTACCATTGTAAGATAACCTTTCTTAAATACCTTTCTTCTAATTGTATTAACGTAATTCTTAAATGTTTGTACAAATTCTTTAATGTCATTTTCTTCAAAGTCACAATGTACTGGCTTTCTTTGAGCAGGAAAACTATCTAGATATTTTATAACTTCCGTTTCTGATATTTTTCTTTTATTTGATGTTTTATTTAATCCACAAATGAATAGTAACATTTCACTTAGATTTCCTTTGTAACTTTCTTTTACCCAAATTGGTAAATGTTTAAATGAATCTTCATTAGTATAATCAAAAAATATAACTGATCCTAAAGCATTAACAAAAGGTGAATATTGTAATCCACGTTTATAATTAAGATCATATCCAACTGCTCTAACCTTTAAAAATTTATTATCAATTTCTCTATATGTTGTAGCAAGATTATCTAAATTTTCAATACTTTTAATTGGTTGATCAAATCCATTTAATAATCCAACTGCAAGTCTTCTAGCTTGTGTTTGTGTAATTTCATCTCCACAAAAAATAAGTCTAATTGTATAAGTAAGTCCCCTATCAACTTCTTGATTTATAAGTCTACGATATGGATCTTTTTCCATTTGTTTTCTTTGACTACTTTCTAATTCACTTTGAATAGGAATAAATCCTTTTTTTGGTTTTTTGTATTGTCCTGATTCAAATAATCTTTTTTCCCATTGAACTTCAAGAACATCATCTCTAAAGTTAATTTTTCTTATTGAACAAATCATTTCATTAATAAACTCATCAAATAATTGTTCTTTTCCTGGACAATAATTAAATGTTTTCATTTTCATTAAATGCAGAATTGCCTTTCTTTCTTGTGACATTTGGTTAATACTTTCTTCATTTGGAAATATACCAATTACATATGCAAAAACATTTTCTTTATTACAAAATCTTCTTGCTTCTGATAACCAATTATACACATGTCTAAATGACATATCATCATCATTTCTATATACTAAGAATATTCCATGTGCTCCACTGAATGGAAAATATGAAGTGGCTCGATTAATATTATTGTCGTATAATGTCATACTAATTCTTCCATCAAACCCATCAATTCTAACATCTTTCATAGTTGTTCCAATTTCTTTTAGAACTTGGCTTTGGTGGTTATGATAATATCCCCATAATAATTTTTTTCTATCATCTAATGTACATGGATCTCCAACAAAGACAATTTTAATAGTATATAAAACATCTTTTTCAGAAAGAGGTGTCTTTAATATTTGAATTCCTGGTGTCATATCACGTTCTTGAATTAAGCGAAATGTTTTACTCTTCTTTTTGTCTTTCTTTTTATCATCTTTTTTCTTATCATTCTCTTTTTTATCTTTCTTTAATACATTCATATTTTATTTCTTTTGAATTACAAGTTCTTAGAATTTCTCTATAGTTATTTTATAAAATGCAAATGTTTCAGAATAGGTTTCAAAGATATTTTTGTATAATATTAACTCTTTTAAACATTAAAAAGAAATCATTTGAAGAAAGCAATGAGGTTCTGGAAATATTGCATAACTTCTGGAATTTCTGAAAATACAAAACTTATTTCTTTGGCATTGTATAACATGTCAACAACATCAGACACTTTTCTAATTTTTAACACATTTAATTGATTTGATTGAATATATGTTTCCATCATGTCACTTCTGATATTTTCTCCAAGTAATAGAGCAAGAACTGGAATTTTTGGATCATGGTGGTCAGCGTATGCATTGCGGTAGTTAGCATGTTGCATGCTAATAGAATAAACGTTTTCTAAAGAACGATATTTTTTTTTAGTTTCACTCTTTAACTCCTATTTAGATGAATAATATGAATTAAAAAAGTCGAAGATTAAATAGAAAAAAGTAGCAAACGTTAAATATTTTCTTATTTCTAATATCTGAACAGAATATTGAAAGAACAGAATAAATCAGGCAACTTGAATTGAAATCACCTAAAACCATACAGTGATAAGAAACTTTAATATAAAAATTTAACATTTTAGGAGAAGGATCATATTCTAAAGATGCTTTTGTTAGCTTTTCGATAAATTGAATTTTGCTGACATAATTGTCAAGTGTTGGAGTATTTTTAGAATAAAAAAATTCAGAAAAATGGACTGTGTTCCATAGTCTTTGATTGAACATTATAATTTGTTTTGCAACAACATCACTCCTAACTTTATAAATTCGAACTTTTTTAATTCCTTTTCTACAATAAATTTTATCTATTTTAAGTCTACAATTAAATTTTTTAATTGGCTGTGGTTGAAAGCAAATTGGATCTGTGACAGATGTTGGTTGGATTTCTTTTTTAATATTCTTTAATATATTTTCACTAATAACATCGGTTTTAAATAAACATGAATTAAGTAATTTTTCAACAACAGAATTATTGGGAATTATTTCTTCTTTCATTAAATTTACCCAAGAAACAATAATACTTTGAAGTCTTAATACTCTTGTTTTTCTTTGTGTTTCAGGCATATACATATTTTCATTTAAGTCTTTACACACGTCGATTAACTTATTTAAAAAATCATCAACTGTCATATAAGAAATACATTCTATAATAAATCTAGAAATACTAACTTCATGTAAATCTAATGCAAAGTTCCAATGCCAAAAAGGAGAAATAGAAATTAAATTTCCATTTTCAGTAAATTTAATTTCACCTGATTCATTGTTAAAAATAAACGTAACATTTTCAAATAATGTATGAAGAAATTTTCTTGTATTTAATGGAGTTTTGATTGATGATGGAAATAAAACTTTATATAATTGTGAACGTCTATGAACTTGAAATAATTCTGTTACTACTACTTTAAATAAATCCCTATGTGTTTTTTCCATTTTCCAGACTGCATTCTTAATATACTCTTTTTCTATCACATCAAAGAGTTTTTCATCACAAAAAAAACGAACACCAGCTATTTTAGCGGCATTAATTAACTCCTCAGCACCTACTGAACTTTTAAATAAATTTAATACATCTTCAGGAATTTCTTCATTATATATTTCTTGAGTTATACTTTTTCTTCTAGGAGATTTGGCAGACCACCTTGCGTTCTCTTTGCCGATTTTAGATATACTCGTGTGTTTGACCATAGAAGAACGACGTCCAAATGTCATTATTAACAAAATGAAAAAACAAGATAATGTTTTACGTAATTTTAAAAAGAAGGAAGAAATTCTATAAAGATGAAACCAAAAATCAAAAATAGAGGTAACACTAAAAATGAGGAAAGCAAAGTTAAATGTTATCGTCAAGTATTTCAATGAAAAAGGTTAAAAAATGTTATTCGTCAAAACAACATTTCTTTTATTAAAACTCCAAAAAAATTGAAGAAAAACCTTTTTTGCTCCAAAAATATGATTTTGATGTGAAAAAAGAATAATTAAAAACTTAGGTTTTTTTACTATAATTATAAAAATGGATATTTACCTAAAATAAAAAAACAAAAATAAATAAAGGTTCTCGTTGAATGTCAGATCCAGCTGTAACTGCCGATATTTTAGAATACATTGATTATGTCATACAACAATGCAAAGATGACACTCATTATGAAAATATTAAATCGTACTTAGACCATGTGTTTAAATGTAGAGATGAAGTAAAGTGGGCTGAATTTGAATATTGTGTTTTATTCCCATTTAATGTATTAAAAATGAACAATACAAAAGTAATGATTAAATATCCAAAGATTGGAGACCACTCGAAAGTAAAAGAATATCTTCAGTCTCTTAATGATGGAGGGAAGAATTCATTTGAGAGAAAAGTTCTTTTTCTTCCTCTTTCTGTTCCAAAATATGCAGTTATTGAATCAACTGAAGAAATTAACAAAAGACCAGAATGGTTCAGTGTTGTTGATCAAATATGTGTTGATGAACTTCCAACCAATAAGTGCAATATAATTACTTCATTTTTTAAGAATATGTGTCCATCTCTTGAATATGACTCAATGTCTTATGTTACTTTAACTCAGAAGATATGTCAGGAGCATACAGATTGTAAGAAAGCAATTGACGAACTATTAAAACAAAATTCACAAAGCCTTGTTAATATGTTTGAAATAAAACGAAATAATGGAAAAAGCATTAAAGATAAATACGAAAATGAGACAACTATTGAAGAACAGTTTGAACAACCACTGACTGGTCCTAAAAGAGAAAGAAAAGTGTGTTTAATTAGAATGGACTATGATATTGTAAGTAAGGGAATTGAACAACGCCATCTAGAAAAGAAAGATGAAGAAAATCAAAAAGACCAAAACAACCAAATAACTTCTCATAAATTAAACAATTCCCCACATCAATCAGATTTTCGTGAAATTCCAATTCATGTATGGAATCAACCTATTATTAATAGAATGGCACCTTCTCTCCCAACTAGAGAACCAATACTTCGTAAAGAACAAGATAGAATGTTTGAACAACATCAGTCTAATGTATTTGACTCTGTACCATATAGCTCATTTGCTCCAATAACCAATGTAGAACAACATCCTTTTTATCCTCTTACTATGGAATTTTCAACAATCCCATCAAATGAAAGACAAATTAAAGATTGTGCTTTATTAAATGACTATGACTTTAAACGATATTATTCTGCTCAAACCTCACAAAATGGAGTAGAACAATTAGCACGGTCGCATCGATTAGAATCTGAAATAATGGATAGAAGGCGGAATCGTCAGATAGAAACATTTAACTCAGAAGAAAAAATTATTGACTTAACACAATCCTTTCAGCCTTCACTCTCTGGAATATTACATTGATTTTGTTTTTTTAATTTACTAAATAAAAGATGTGTTTAATCAAAAATAACAAAAATCTGAAAAAAGCTAGTCAATGACTAATAACGAACGCCAAAAACCCTATAACCCAGAAACATCGGTGTTTATTGGTAAATTACCTAAGTCTATGAAGGAAAATGAAATTAGAGAAAAGTTTATTACATGTGGGAGAATATCTCGTATGATGATGCAATACTATCCAAATGGTCAATCAAAAGGGTGTTGTTTCATTGAATTCGAAGACAAAAAAGGAGCTGAACGAGCATGTTCTAGAGATGGGTCAATTATCGATAAACAATATATACGTGTCAATATGGCAGAGAAAAAACCAATGAAACGTTTGTTTAGTTGTTAAACAAGAAAACATGTTTTAACTTAACTTACAGTAAATTATAAACATTTGCCAAAAACAACTCAAAAGAAAATGAATAATTCGTATTGTATTTTTGTTGGTAAGGTTTCTTCTATTACTACTGAAAGTACATTAGTTAAAATTTTTGCAAAATGTGGTAAAGTATTACGGGTTACTATTCCAATTTGGAGAAACACAAATAAAAGAAGAGGTTTTGCTGTTGTTGAATTTGCTTCACTTGCCTCAGTTGAAAAAGCATTAGAATTGGCTAATACGACTGTTGATGGAAAACAAATTACTGTTATGAGACTGGATGATGTTTTAAATAAAGAAAAACAACCAAAAACAAAGAAAGAAAAGAAAGACAAATCTTCAACGAAAAAACAATTAACAGAAGAAACCAAGGAAGAAAAAGAACAAGGAGAAGAAATGCAAAAAGAAGAGGGGGATATTAATTGCGATAGCCCTACTACTAAAATGGAAGAAGACGATTCAAGTGAAGATTTCTCTTCAAAAGATATTCAAAAAGAAATAAAGAAAGAAATTAAACAAAAAAGGCAAGAGGAACTTAAAGAAAAACATACCGATGAAGACGATATATTTGAACAAGAGTTATTAAAAATGGAAAGTACGGATAATTGATTGATTTTTAAATAAAATTTTCTATAAGTTTCTTTAAAAATACATTAAAAAGACATTATAAAC